ATTGGTAATTCTATTATTGTATTTAAAAATTATTAAACACTGTTTTCCATTCATCTCCTGGTCGAATGTGAATTTGGTGATAGCCGCTTTTAAAGTCAAGCTTGGTAAAGCTGGTCGCTGCTCTGATCTGGTCAAGAAGATCATCCAAACATAGTATTGGAAACCAATATCGAACAGTGATTTTGTTAATCGTGCGGCTGTCGACACACAATCATCAAGTGCCATCCTTTTTAGGAATGAGGAGAGCTAGAACTGCGCACGAACTAAGGCTCACGCGTAAATACCCTTTGGACAATAGATCTTCCACCTGGCGTCTTAATTCATCGTGTTCCTGCGGAGACATGCGATAATGTGGTCGATTTGGAAGCGCAGCGTTCGGAGCCAAATCAATGCAATGTTGAATGTCTCGTAGAGGAGGAAGACCGGAAGGAAGCTCTTCAGGAAAAACGTCCTGAAACTCCCTAACAAGATCTTGAAACTCTGTGGGAATAGTACTCGACGTTGGAGGCGACGACAGTTTAAGAATAAGAACATCCCACCAGCAGATTCAGCACAATCTTCAAGAAACTGAGATCGGTTAACAAAAAACACAGGCGGTGGCAGCTGCTTTGTATCAGGAGAAGACACAATGTGCTGATCAGGTGTTTTAGGGACCATCATTTCCTGTGAGGAAAGAAGAGTAATACGCTTTCCTTCGAAACTGAAAGTGTAGGTGTTAGTGAAACCATCGTGAACCGTCCTCCTGTTATACTGTCATGGACGACCCAAGAGCAAGTGACCAGCGTCCATGGGAACCACATCGCAACAAAGCAGCTCCTTGTAACTAGAGCCAATTGAAAAAGGAACACGGCAGCGTCTAGAAATTCGGATATCTGCTTGCTATTCAGCAAGGCAAGTCGATACGGGGTGGGATGAGGCTCGGTGAAAAGAACTAATTTACCCACAGCTTCCTCCGAAATTGCATTTTTACAACTTATCGAATCCACAATAAGACGGCACACTTTGCCCCGAATTGTATAGGTCGATCGAAAAATGTTACTTTGAAGCCACGACTCTTCGATCTGTGGAGTGAGAAAACTCCTTCGAGTAACTAGCAAATTGCCTGCATCACCTGTAACACGTTCCTCAGTTTCTGTGTGTTGTTGATCTTCCACCTCCGGATCAAACACAATTTCATCATCACCAAAAAGAACACGCTTAGGACACGCGGATTGACGATGTCCTGTTTCACCACAATTAAAACATGTAAAGGCGATTGTAAGAGTCGCCTTTGGTATTGAGATGACACCACCGTTGTCTGGTGGAGCCGATGTAATTATTTTCTCTGTCTTGGCAATAGCACCTGCTTCACTAGGAGGATTAGTGCGAAAACGTGAACTAGACGAAGCCTAAGAAAACCCTCGTAGACTCTGCTCGATGAGCACCGCTCGCTGATGTGCTTCAGAAACAGATGCAGGATTGAACTGAAGCAGTTGGTTCTGTATCTGTAGCTTTAAGCCTCCAATAAAGAGAGAAACAGATTGTTCCTCTGTTTCCATTAAGCTGTTTCGAGCCAAGAGAGAAAAAAATTCTAACGTGTAATCATCCACACTCGTCGATCCCTGACGCAGATGGTGCAAGCATAATTGTACGGCAAGAAGTAGCGGCGCATAGGTTTCTTCATCTTCTCCCAAGACCCAATGCAAGCTTTCCCTGAATTAGCACGTTGAACCTTGAGCTGTTGCCACCACGCCGAAGCTCTTCCCTTGAAACATGTCGCCACCAGTGAGACGCGCATGTTGTGGGTACAGCCTTAAACGTCAAAAGCTTTTCCATTGTATTGAGCCAATCCAGAAAATCCTCCGCCTGTAAGCCTCCGGAAAATTCAGGAAGATCGAGTTGAAAACCCAACTCCCACCGGTGATTATCCCCATGGAGAACATCACCTACAGCTTGTTGCTGTTGTTGACGAGGTTGGTGTCTGACGCCAAACGGATTCCCTTCATCGCCTTCTGAATCATCATCCAACACCGGAGCATTCCGAGGAGGATGTACTTCCTGCGGTGGAGATTGGAGCACTGCACGTAAAGGCAGCTTCGATCGACTCTTGGAGGGCTTGACGCAGCTCCTGTTGAAAGTCGACCATCACCTCACGAA